CGCGCTGCTCCCAACTTCCCGCGTTTGGTGACGTGGTCCAGAGTCTTCCTCTGGCTTCCTCGGGTGGTGCCCTGCTGCCTCTGCTACCGCCTGAGGTTAGCCTTGTCGAGCCGAACTGCACTTCTAATGCCGTCTGCCTGGCCAACTTTATCCCTCTTCTGTAGGGCACTGTGAACTGGAAATGAAACTCCACCTCCTCCTCCTCCTCCTCCTCCTCCTCCTCCTCCTCCGCCTCTGGTTTCCAGATGCTCTCGGACCCGCACGTCGAGGACAGTGTCGATGCGATCCTTGCTCGAGCTGATGAGGTGCTGGAGGGCTGGAAGGCATGGGCGGCCAGCTCTTTCGAGAAGGGGGCTGGGCAGGCTCATCGCTACACCAGAGCGAAAACAGCCCAGGAGATCTACGACTGGGGCAACCTGCACAACGACCTGGCCCAGCCGCACGTGCTGGCCGACAAATCCATGAGGTTCTGGGACAGTATATGGGGACTGCATGAGCAACAGGTCATGGCGCTTCCGGCCGGCACAAGTTCGTGGGCAACGTTCCCTAACATCACGGTCGCCATGTTGCGTGCTGCAGCGCTTTCTTTTCCATGGCACACAGGAGTTGGCCAATTTCATGTTTCGCCTCGCAGCTTTTGGTATGTGAGTGATGTGGGGCTGTACGTGCCGGGCCAGTTGTTCTCAGCATGTGAAAGGCTGCACCAGTGGCCGCAGGAGCGCGTGGTCACCCAGGTGGTCAGGCTGCCGAAGGAATCTGGCGGCAGCAGGCTCATTGCCTTGATCCACACGCTGCTGCGAGTGTGGGGCCGTGTGAGAAGTCCTCTTGCAGCTTCTTGGCAAAGCGATCACGCTGCGGAGGCCTTTTGGGGCACCGGGGCGGGTCGTTCGTCGGTTGACTGCGCTTTCAGTTTGAACTTGGAGGCAGAGATCGGCCACGAGCTGGACGAGGATGTGGTCAATGCCTTCCTTGACATGATGAAGTGCTACGAGACGGTGCGGCTCGACGCTCTCTTGACGGAGGCTTGCGGTGGGTTTCCCGCCCCGCCGGTGTTGGATGGCGGTGCAGACGTATGTACAACCACGTCTCATCAAGGCGTATGGGGGGCTGTCGTATGCGGTGGTCTCGCTGCAGGGCATCTTGGCGGGCTGCTCTATGGCAACCACGCTCCTCATGGTCCTGCTGTACCGCAGTATGCAGAGCACGGTTAGCAATTTTATAAATGTGACTCCTCGCGCGATGATTGATAACATCAGCTTTCAATGGGTGGGGGAGCGGGCTGTGGGGCTGAGGCGGGACGGGAGGGATCCTGTGCATGAGCTGTACGCTGCTCTCCGTGCCTGTGTAGATCTTGTTAAGCCGTTGGGATCGCGAGTTCAGTTCCCCAAGTGCGGTTTCGTTGCTAGCACTGGTCGTGCTCGTAAGCGGTTTAGTCGTTTTGCTGGCCTTTTGAAACTGGCTTCCAAGAAGGCCATGCGAAATCTTGGGCACGAGCTCCATAGGCCCCGGGTCCTGCGCGCCCAGGAAAAGTCTCGGGTGCGCAAAGTTTGTGAGCGCAAGGCCAAGCTGCTCAATCTCCGTCGTGCGGTGGGGAACCGAGTGGCCGGCCTGTGGCGCACAGGGCTCATGCCCTCGGCTGCGCACGGTGTTGGAGTGTCAGGAGTTTCCGACACTGCGCTCCGCACCCTTCGCACTGTGGCGGGGGGGCTGGTCGGGGCGAAACCGATGTGCTGCCTTACGTTGTACCTTGCCACACAGGCTAGCTTCAGATATGATCCTGTTAGCTCCCACTCCTGTTCCTCCCCTGTTCCGCGACCCCACTCTCGACCCCCAGATGCGACAGACATGCTGCAGGGCGCAGGCGCGTGCGCACAGCGAAGCGAGGAGGGGGAGGTGAGAGTCTAACTTTGCTTCACCTTTGTGAATCCGAGTTTTTGGTGCCGCAACTTCGCCTGTGTGCCGCTGCGCTGCCTGGATCCGGGAGCAGTGGGTGAGCCCCGGTCGCCTGCGCCGTGCCTGGGACCGCATCCGGGAGCGGCTTTCTGGCCGAGTGACCCGGGCCGGAGCTCGGGGCCCCATCTCCTCTCAGGGGGACGTAAGACCTGGGTGCAGGGGACTCGGAAATCCCCGACGAGGTCGTCAACAAAAATGACAAGGCCGAGCCTGCATTTTGACGAGGCCTCCCGCTGCAGACATCCCACGAAATTCCTCCTCGTCAAAATCCGAGGCGCGGTCGTCAAAAAACGATGGCGAACCCGAGTCCTGGCAAACCCGGGTCTTACGCTCCCCCGATCATCGACCCTCCTCACCCTCCTCAGAATTGGTTGGAGCATGTTGCCCCCTATTGTGATGGTGGACGACGTAGGCAGGCACGTGGGATTTGTTGCGCGCCTGCCCCTCGGACGTGAAGCGATTTCTGGAGGAAGGTTTGCAGCGATGGCAGTCTCAAAGAATTCTGGCTTATTTCGAAGACAGTGCCGGCGAAACGTGTTGGCTTCGTGCTATGC